CCCCCCCCGGGATACCAAGGAAAACGCACGCACGCATACACACGCGGAGAAATACAAGAATCAAATGTAGCCGAATACATCATGAGGGACTAAAATAAGGACCCGGACATTGACTCTACAACAGGACGATCACGAGTGCTGCCATCCTCACCCTCCTCTCTCTCTCTCTCCCTCTCTCTCTCATTCCGAATCACGACAGAAGGCACGATGGGCACAAACACACGCAACGTCATCATCAATCTCCCTCCCCCCCCTAATAAGAATCGTCTCTCACCACTGCACGTGCGGCCCCCCGTAGACTGCCACGATGGTGGGGTAGGGCCCCGGACCGTGCACGTTAACGTCCGGACGGTACACCGCGGCGAACAGGTTGGCCTCCCTGTCCCTTGTCTCGAAGGATATCACCTGGAGGTTGGGTGTGGGAGCGTACACATGATCGTAGCCCCTTCGCTGTCAAGTACTGTACCGTACACATCAAAAAATCAGTCATGTACCAGGCTTCCCCTTGCGGTGTGGCTGCGGCGCTTACCCTCACCTACAAGAAAATTTGCGGGGGCTTGACGTGAACGCCTGTTACGAAATAATGGAAAACACATAAATCCGAATGGGCAAACGGCAGCAAACAGCGGCCGAAAGCACTGCAGCAGCAGCAGGTGCGGCAGAGAAGCAGCAGAGCTCCGCCAGCACTGAGCGCGACCATACAATGTAGTCTCCCGAAGTTCCGGTCTGGACATCGTCCTGCGCCACTACCTCTCACCTATCCCACCTCCTGACATGGAATTTTTTTCAACACGCCCTACCGTTCCTACCGATCTATGAAGTATGTACCAACCTCAGGGGGTGGGAGCTTGGGTCTGAGAGCCAAGACTCTGTCGTCCAGGGCCGAGTGCAGCTCCTGCACGGGTGTCGGGGGATCGTAAGGGTTACCCGTGGTGGAGAGGGCGTACAGAACCATCTTCGCGGGCTGCTCCGGCGAGCTGTAGACGTCCACAAACCTGGATGCAGGGAAAACATTTTACAACAAAAGAAAAAGAGATTGATAGCAGGAACAGAAAACACAGTGAACACTCAACCACAATAGCCTCCCAGTGAGCCAGTTTATTACCGTGGTGGGAAAAACATAAAAAAATGAGCGTGTCGGAAGGCAAACAAAGCCCACGGTAGATTACACAACAACGACGAGGACGACAAACACGATCCACCACACGAGCGGCAACGCCGAACAGCAACAACATCAACATCGCGGTATGAGAAAGCAAGAGGGAACCAGCTCAACGGGGGAGAGACGCCAACCGCATGAGAGTACGTACATCGTGCGTTCCTTACTACATGTACCTCCGGAGGCGGTGGTCCATGATGACGTTGTGCATGCACGGGGCCTCCGTCAGCCTGACCGGCTTCGCGCTCCCCCCGGGACCCCCCTCCGGGTTGTTGAGGGGCACCGCGTACAGGTGCCGCTCGCACGGGCTGTCGTACGTACCCATCACGTACACCACGTCGTTCGCCTGTGCAGGGGGGGGGGGTCGTGGTGGGAAATGAACGGGGGCTGGAACAGAGGATTGATGTTCGCTTCCAGATACGTCCACCATGACGTTGGATGCATGTCTTGGACTGCAGCAGGTTTGAGTTGCACGAGGCAACCTCTATCTACCATGATTTCATCGCGTTTCGCGGCCGCTGCTCTGTCGTGAGCCCGATTTTTTTGGCATCCACGTTCAAACCGTTTCCTATCTTTTCTTCGGCTCCCGCACGGGAATGATGTAGCCGGCATGACCCGCGAGTCTGGCGCCACGCGGTGCGCCGTGTCAGCATCATTCCGGAAGTCAAGAATTCTTGGTTCGCTCTGGGTTCTCTCCAGGGGTTCTGCATGATATTATGATCAGGTGATTGGTCAGAAGGACGCAACACGGGGGCACAGCAGCATGGCACAGCTTATAAATAGCATGTATCTCTCTACCTCGCTCATAACTCGCACAGCCTCTAACTCCCACAACTCTCAGTATTTCTTGCGTTCTTCTGGCGGCTTCCGGAACGGGAATATGGTGTGCGCAGCGCGCCCCGCGCGTAGCACGCCCTGCGGTGCACTGCGGTGCCATGAGAGCTACGAGCACCGATCCTATTTTCGTTCCCAAGGAGTAGGTACGATGTGTACAGTAGATATCTCGGCACAACGTGCCATGTAACCAGCAGGTAACCCCCGCCTTGCATGGCATAAACATGCTCATCACATGTCGAACTTGTGTAAACTTGCGCGATGCTACATAAGCACTTCATCAAGAGCCATGCGCGGCGGTGTGTTTTGGGAACGAACTTCAGCTGAGTACCAGGGTATGTATGTATCTAGCGAACCCCCCCCCTTCACAGCAAAATTACACACTACTGACGTACGTCTATCTTTGGTACATAACTTACGAGATGGTACACAAGCCCTTTAAGCCATGCACTGTGGACTACTGCTGTAAGACAGCCGCTGCTGTAGAGCCAAGCCAGGAAACATCTCTTCCTAATAGTTGGGAAGAGAAACAAACAGAACGCAGCGTGCTGGATTCCGAGGCCGTCTGCTGATGTTGCCGCTGCTGCATTGCTGTCGTCCTACGGCCATAGCATCAGACTTACAGAGAAGACACTTTTGGCACACACAAACGCGGAATCTCGTGTGGATGTGTTCCCCGGGATCAGCGCTGGGCAACGACTTCCCGGACAATGACCAAGCGGTGACGACGCACTTCTTTCAATATCTTGCGAACATTCGAACCTGTATCATGTTGATTTTTGCTCACGTGCATGCAATCTATCCGATCCTCAATCTACTTACATACAACACTTGCCGATGTCCTCCACAGCTACACAACAGTACCTTCAAAAACTTGCTTCCTTTTTCTTTTACCTGCGGGTGTTACGGGAGACCAGCCCCCCGAAGGGGGGGCGGGCGAAGCACCCTTGCTCATCGAATACAAAAAATATCGAGTGCACGAAGGGAACGACGCGCAAACGAAGCCCATGGACCTGCGAGAACAGCAACAAAAAAATTCGACCGGGGATATGTCGTGTAGACAGAAAGGCCCTCTTCTTCCCCCTCCCCTCTTACCCTTGCCGTCGTTCCATCCTGACCCCTGTAACGTATGCGTCATCGTCGCCAACGACAACCTACACAGCCCGCGCTCGCGCTTGTCGCAAAGAACAGTGACCGAATGAATGCCAGAGAGTTATCTCGCTCTCGTCTCCCCCTCCCGTTCCTCACCTGGTCCACCCCCACGACGAACTCCACGACCCACTCCCCCGAGGTTATCTGGCGTATCTCGACCGCCTTGTCCGCCCCTGGCACGTACTGGTAGAGGTAGAGGTGCATGAACCCGCTGCGCTCGGACGCCCAGATGAAAGAAAACGACCCGTCCGGTGCCGCCGGCGAGGAGGAGGACGACGGCGACGAGACGTCCATATCGCTAGCGCCAACAACGCCAGAGCTACCGCCTTCTTGGCGAGGCTGCTGCTGGGGTTTCGGGGGGGGGGAAGGGGGGGGGGGGGGGGGGTACTCTCGTACTATGGATGCCGTATCTGTTTACATCATCGACCACGCGTCCTCGAGAGGACAGAGTATTGTTTGCTCCAACAGGACCGATCACCGACAGCCAACCGTCCCTTCCCACTTTTCCGAAGGTCGTTCAAAAACGGTTTGAGGCGGGAGAGGGGTCATCTTACATTTTCGATGCCTGGCATATTTAGTTGGTCATTTGCTCACAGTTGTTGCGCAAGGGTGGCTTGCGGGAGATGGGGTTAAGTTCAGAATTTCGCCGTTCGTTCGACCCACCACCTGTTTGAGGGAGTAGGTATCCCCTTCATGGGCCCGTCCTACCGGCAGGAGTGATATCCGGAGCTTGACAGGTGGTACCAAGGAGCAAACAGTTTGGGATGATGGTAAGGGTGACAAGTAGCCACAACAGCAGCAGCTAGCTCACCCTCCATTCGTCCACAGTCTCACACCCGAGCCAAATTCTAGCACTAGCACTAGCCGTGAACACGCCAAACAAAAAACAACGAGGAGCCAGCGACAAAACCACCACCATCACTACCGCCAACCATCGCGACGACAACAACAAAAAAATCAGCGAAAACAAGAGCAGACCTGCAGGGCGGGCGCCGGGAGGGACCGGAGCAGATGGTGCAGGTTGACCCAGACCTTGGACTTCTCCACGACGAGGGTGGTGGGGGCGCCGCTTCGCGGGTCCAGTCGCAGCAGCCGGAGCTCCGTCTGAGCGCGGTTCTGCACCTGGGCGCACAGCGAGCCGTCCTGCAGCCAGTTCACCCTAGCGAGGTAGATCTCTCCCTCTATGCCCGCCCCCGCTTTCGCCGCCCCCATTCCTCCGTTGTCGTTGCTTGAGGCCGGCTCCGACGACGTCTGGCCCTCCGTTGGTTGCCCCGAAGGGGGGGTGCCGCCGCCGTTGGCGGTGCCCCCGATGTCCATCCAGGTGGGTCGGAAGTTCTCCTCGCTGGTGTTAGCCTGGCCGGACTGGATGGCCTCCGCGTCCACCTCGACCACGGCAAGGCGTACCTGTTTAGATCATTGTAGATGGATTTATTGCGTTGTTACTACGGAAAAAAAAAAGAAAAAGGTGCGCATAAAAAACAATAAATGCGGCGGTCGAGGTTCTCGAAGGGTTTGAGAGAGGGTACTGGGCAAGAGAGGGACGGGGTGTAATAATGCAAACGCATTCCGTGGTCGTTGGACACTGGGGGAAGGGGAGTCGTGAAGAGATGGAAGGGCAACTTGTGCGTTTCGTCGGCTGGTGTGTGAAAACCAACGTAGAGTTTCGCAACGGGGTGCGGGATGCGGATGATTGTAGGCAGAAGGAACGACAACATGTGACTTTCGTGTAGGCTGCTGGAGCTATCGGTGTATGTACTGCACGGGCCAGATGGGCGTGAAGAGGGTGGCGAGAGTGTTCTGCACGCTTCTGTCGCTTGGCTCGACAAGTCCTTCGGCTCTCGATCTCGCAGCATTCCCTTTCGAGAGCTGGACACCCTTCCCACTCCCACTGGAGACGATACGACACCGCCAACAACATTCATTCGGGAACTCCTTCAACTCTCTTTCCTTTGCCACACACCAGAGGATCTTGGCCTGCGGCAGTCATGTCCTCCCCCCCCCCTTCCAACGGCGCAACAAACCAACCAATCTTCTGACCAAGTGTGAGAGCTCGAGGGGCTGTTACCACCGCCAGCGCTACGGCAAGAGAGATGCGGCACTACAAGATGGGCAGGCCCATTGAGCCTCACGGTCCGAACAACACAACGCAACTCAATCCTTCACAGACCAAAAAACTGGTGTGGAGCGTTGAAAAAACACACCAGAACCCGTACCCATTGATTCGAACGTGTTCGCGGTTTTTATCCCGCTACAATACTGGCGTATTGTAATTGGGTCAGTCGGTCGTGTAGCGCGGTCGATGTTGATTAACAAGACACACACACACACGCACACACACCCTCAATGGCCTCGTCACGACCCTCACGGGCGGGCAGGCTAAGAACACATAGGTGGCACCATCCATCTCACAGCCTACATCGGGCAGACAGTGCCTTCGACCCTTCGACCGCGGTGGTATCTCCTTCTCTCACGGAATCACAAATCTTTGTTTGGACAACGGTGGGTACAACCTGGATTTCCTGCTACTACTACACAGTACAGTACTACTGCGGCGGCTGCGGATACTGGATTCCTGGACGTGTTCACCTGAAGGAAAGCCGAGAGAACCTGCGAGCAGGACTTGGCTCCCTCGTGACTTCCTAGTGGCTTGGTAGGTTCGGACGAGGGCATGTGTGGAGCTATGGCAGTGTATGTGTTGCTGTTTTGTTTGATTCATCTAGCTGCTGACACGNNNTTTTGCTGTCCTCCGCTCTTTGCATCAGTGGCTTCCTAGATTCGAGCGAGGGCATTTGCGTAGCTGAGATGTGTGTCTACGTGAAAGAACATGTAGAGAGAGTTGTATTGGCATTCGCATCAAGCGCATTGCGCATTTTTCGAATTTTGGCCCCCTTCCAGGGACCTTGATTTTTGCCCGCTGGCACTGACGTCTTTCAATTGGTCAGCCGGTTGGCGCGGTCGATGCTAATAGTAAAAAAACACACACACGCATGTTGGTCGGCCGGTTGTGTCCCGCGGTCGATGCTAATAGTAAAAAAACACACACACGCATGTTGGTCGGCCGGTTGTGTTCCGCGGTCGATGCTAACAACAAGAGAACACGCAAACATATTGGTCAGCCAGTTAAGTAGCACGGTCGATGCTAACGAAGAAACCACACACACACAAAAACCGAATTGGCGTGCTCAATGCTTGTGTTGTAGTACATATGGTCCGTGCACAACAATTTGTCCAATTCAGTTTTGGGTGAAGAAAAAAAGAATTGGAACGTGACACAACGTTGGTCGTGACGGCCTCATCGAGTTACGTCGATATCCGAGGAGTTTTTTGAATTTGGTGAAAATGCAACATTTTCGGAGAAAATGATCCACGGTGCCCCCTTGTGTACCCCCCCGTACCCTCATGACATCACGGGACCCCCTGAAACAATTTTTGGGTTGTGGTTGGAGGTAGACACGAAACCAAAGCCACAGCGGGTTTCCAGCCCTCAGGCAGCACCAAGGCGCTAGGCCTCACTAGGCCTAACCCACCCCTTAACCCTAACTCTAACCCTAACCCTAACCCAAACCCAACACCCCAAGCTAGGTTGTGGTGCAGTGGGTAGGCCTAGGTCGCTGTACCGAGCTACTGGCACGCGGTTTTTCTGTGCCAGTGCTGGCAAATTTTCGCCGCGGGGAACATCACTACCCACTGTGCAAATGTTACAGGGACCACCTACACGCCATTAAATTTCTGCAAACAAATATCTCTACTGCAGCTGCTGCTGACGGTTGTTTGCTGTGTCTACACCACACGGGAACAAGGACGAACTTCTCCGGAAAAAATACACACGCAACACTCGCGTGAAGGGTCAGAAAAATACTGACCAGATACGGCCAACTCCACGGAAGGGCCAGAAAAACAACGAACAACAATAATCTGCTGCCGTCGCGCACGCTCCAGAAACATCCCCATAGTGTTGGCCAAGCCCACGACTTGGCGCCCCAAAGCTGCTTTTCGGCGGCGGGATTGCTGGCTTCGTGAGAGAGAAAACACGGCGGGTTTTGTTTTTCTCGCCGCGTTTGCTGCCGAGCGAGCTGCGGATACCACAGCACGCCCTGCGAACCTCAGTACCGACTGACCCCCACCACTGCTGTGGTTCCTGCTGGGTTCCTCATCGCACCAGTCTTCGTCGTTTGCCGCAGCCCCTTCCTCATCTTCATCCATAGAAGAAGCGCTGCCGCCACAAGCGTTGCTGTCGTCGGGTGCGTCCCCAACGGAAGGCACATCGGCGGCAGACGCCGGAGGATCATGTTGCTGTGCCGGGGCCTTCGAAACTATCCGCCCATCCGACCCACGGCCGAGCTTCCTCTTCTTCGCCCGTGGCATGGGCCTGTGTGTGCCCGCGTGTGGGTGTTTGTGGCTGTGTGTGCACAGCGTCTGCTGGCAATTTTTTCTCCCATGACGGGCCCAAAACAATGGCGATATCTCGTGAAATTTCGTTTTTCTTGGAAAAATAGAAAATAACCCATCTAGGTATTTACCAGAGGAATCGATTGCCGCTGTTTATTTTGAAATCGTACGGTCAGTTTTGTAGTTAGAAACGATACAACTTGGCCTCCAAAATCCAGTTTTTCATCGATATCTTCGTCAAAAATTAGTATTCCCCCCCCCCAAAACAAACATGTCGGGAATCCGAGATACGCTCAAATCCGTTGAGATATTTGATATCGGCTAAAAACACGACCCAGCGGAAACGATACAAAATTTCACCGTTTTTTGAAGATAAAAAGTCAAGGAATAAAAAAAAACGGAAAATCTCTCCGTAGAGAGATGCGCCTGGAAACAGGGCGTTTGCCGGTACTTTCGGATGTCCGAACGACCACCTGTGTGCAGAGAAAAAGTGTACCCGGGCGCTGGAAAAAATTTGGACAAATTGTTGTGCACGGACCATAGCATTCCAAGATACCTTTGGGTTGTCTTTCCCCGCAAAGGGATAGTGGTGGTCCTCCTGGGCCCCCTCCCCCACGGTGTCCTTCCCCTGGTGCATGATTCGGAACGACGGGATGTGTCGCTCGTCCACCTGTCGTTGTCGTTGTTTGGTTGCCGTCGTCAATGTCGTCGTCGTCGTCGTCGTTGTTGATGATGATGATGTCAATGGTGATGTTGAGTGTAAGGCCGGATCCATAGAGAGACGCCGGCGCATGCGTGGGTGAAGTTGGGATGAGCAGATGAAACAGGTAGGTGGACGTATAGCTGCGCATGGAGGCAAAGGTGCACACGTCTATGGGTATATGTGAGTGAACTAACTAGTGAATGGTTCGAGTGTACACGCACGCCATAAGAGACGGCTATACGTATCAGGCATGTGTTTTCATCAAAAGGCGCCAACACACTCAACCAAAACAAGAACCACCCGGGCTAAACCCGGAACCAACAACAACGACACTTGCAAATTCGCGTTTTTTTGCCCGCTCAGACTGACGAATGTTCGTTTCCCAGCAGCTGTGTCGCGATGCCGATGCCAACAAACACATACATCCAGTCTCACCCTTTGATTAGAAAGCGTGTCACGTTATTCATTGTCCTCCCACAACACTGACGCTCTTCTTCATTGCTCAGCAACCGGCTATGTAGCGCGGTTGACGCTATCTCAAAAAAGGCACACAGAGAAGACACAGATGACGGTCCTTTTTGCTTTCAGCCGCATCACTAAGACTCACGTAGACTTTTCGTTGGTCGGCCGTCTAGCGCGGACAATGTCAACAAAAACAAAGAACACACACAAAACGCCCAGAGAACCGTGCTCGCGTGCCCTTGTCCCTCCCGCTACACTTGACTCTGACGCCCTTTTCATTGCTCAGCAGCAGGCAATGTAGCGCGGTCGATGCCTACGGGAAGAAAGACACACGCAAGACACAAGACACCAGACACACCTCCGTGAAGGCTATCGAGGAGCTGTCGAGAGACCACCAGAAGCCACGGTAACGGTCCATCTCCTCCTGTGCCACGAAGTCCGCAAGCCCGTGCGTCACGCCCCTGCTGCGCCCGCCGAAGGTGAGCTGCACGGGGGGCGGCAACGCCGTCCCCGCCTCCGGCGTCGCCGCCGGGGAGGAAGACGCTCCCGGAGAGGTCGACGAGAAGGCAGGGGGGTCGACTGACAGGAACATGAGGGTGCGCGGGGGGGGAGAGAGAGATGCGTGGGGTTAGGTGTGCCGGTTGGATGCCTGTCTTTTACGGTTGCGGAGGGAAGGGACGAGCTCTCTTGCACAAGAACGAGGCTACTTGTATTTTTTTTCCTCGAGTACGGGGGGGTACGTGAGTAGACATGAAACGGTTATATCCGGGTGATATGATATATCATCATTTACGGGTACAGGTAAACCCAGCGCGAATGGACCCTCAGCGAATCATCTGATTGACCGAAAAGCCATCCTAGCTACTCTTGGAGAAACCCGACCTGAGTGCAACTCTCGCTGGCATCTCGACCCTCAGTTCCAGCCGCTGCTGGTTACTAGTGGAAATTCCAGGAGCTTGCCGATTCTGAAACCCGCCGCACAAACCGCGCTGACCGCACATACCCGCACAACGACACCGACCGTACCGCAAAGGCACACCGCCGGACAGAGGATACGAATCTCCGACATCCTCTTTCGTAGAACGCGGTGAAACCAACCCCCCATGTCCGTGCCTTTGCGAGGGCAGCTGCGCACCTCAAACATACGACGCGTACCGTCATACACTAGCGTGCCGATGAAGAGATCTCTGTCGATTAATGTTTCCAACATCCATTCACATTGTTGTTGTTGCTGCTGCTGCTGCTGCTGTATGTCCGTTGGTTTATTTTCGCGTCGTCATCGTGAGTTCCGCTGCCTGTCGAGAACACTCATGCGCGAGGTGGCTCGCTGATGGCGCTGGTGTAAGCAAAAACAAAACACACACGGAGCGCACACCCGCACCAATACACGGCAAACAAGAAACCTCACCAGTACCAGCGGGCACCAGTGCATAGCATCACGTACGTAAACACGTGCACACCTCACCGCACCTATACCTTCATACATCCCACATTGACATTCAAAAAGGAGAACAAAATAAACAGGACTACCCTCACCAGAGGCGACGAATATCTCGCCGTCCTTGACGAAAGCCACCAGCCGCCCGTCCGGAGACATCTGCGGGTCGACCGCCCCCACCCCACCGTTATCCGGCGCGGCCTTGTCGTACACTATCCTCAGCGTCGACGAGTCGATGCCGTCCTGAACGTACACGTTGCCCTGCGGTAGTTGCGCATGGCAGCATCGGGTTAGGCATGGTACTTTATAAAGCAATCGGTTTTGGCACCATTGTTGTTTCAACGCTGCTGAGAAACGAGTGGCGTCGACAAGGGTAAGGAATCATGCCTGCCGAGAAACCGGGGTTCGCCTATGAAGCGCAGCAGAGAGCCGGCCAGACGACCGCAATTCGGTACCGCACGTGACTACCGTATATGACACAAGATAACACACCCTCTTGACCAATTTTCAAAGCTCGATTATGCGACAACGAAGAGGATGCATAAATGAAACAATACATTTTCGGAAAGCTCTAGACGATACACCTTCAACTCCACCGTTTTCCGCGCTTTAACTCTTTCTGCTGTCGAGAAATCCAGATTTGAAAATCGGTCCAGGGGGTGTGTTATCTTGTGTCATCTACGGTACACGCCATGTTCGGCAACGTGCTCTCATGAACATCCACACTCGAGCACCACCAAAACTTCAGTCACCCAACCTCCCTCCAAGCACTATCCCTCCAGCAACTCGACTCCATTCCACCCCCGCGCCTACACACGGGCTACTTTCATGACAACATGCGTCACTTTGGTTGCACTGAAACCCCTTGACAGCAGCAGTGGCTGCTGTTTTGTCCCACACCTGTAGCGGCACCATGATGCGGATGTTGGCGCTCCCCCTCGACGACCAGAAGAATGACGTCACCCCCGTGGCGTGCAGCCTCTGCCTCTCCCTCCTAAGCTTCTCCTCTAGGCTGAGGTTCTCCTCCGTGTCACCATCGTTGGGGGGCATCACCAGCTGCTTCTTCGCCATGGTGTTCACGTCCACGCCCCACAACTGGCGGGACAGAAGAAGAGACAGGGGGGGTGGGGTACTCTTATGTGTTGTATGCCGTAGTCGTTAGACCATTGACCACTCGTCCTCGAGACGACGGAGCATTGTTCCCACGCGGCTGATCACCGATGGTCAATCGGGGGGGGGGCACAGAGGACGGGGATGAGAAATACTTCTGTTCAGCAGGCGGGAAAGGGAAACCTGACATGTGCGCACTGCTGCGCCGTCAAGGGTAAACCTATGTATGCTACCGCCTAAAGTGGTGAAGCCGCTAAGGCTCCAACAAATGGACGCAAGGGGGGCAGGGACACGCCTGCCTCCTCCTTGGCGCGACTGACGGACGAACGAGGCGGTGTCGCTTCTGACTTAATCAACTCACTGCTGCTGCTGCTGCTGCTGTTGCTGCACATCGTGACACATGGACAAAAGCAGCACCGCTACCTGACTTCCCTATCGTTCTACCTTGGCTGCATGGCTATCCGGTGAAAGAAGGGCAACACGGGCACAACACGAAAGCCTGAGCGATTGAACGTCGCACTGGTATGGACCCAAACGGAACGGGAACACATGTTGCCACCACTACCAAAAGTGGCTCCCGAACAATATCGATCTCAACTCGTCCAAGGTACCGGCACTACTCAATACTGTGCGCAAAGCTCCGGAGTAAACTTGCTGGCTACCACCCCAAGCACAGGCAGCGTACACACGGCGGTCATCTCCAGCAACGAACGGATCGTAACATGCTCGTCCCATGGCCAGGCAGGAACAGGAAAGAAACGGAGCGCCCCAACACGTGTTGTAGAAACCTATTAGCACACAGACTGAGTTGGTAGATACTAATCCCTCCCCAAACACACCCACGCTCACACCTGTCGCGTGAGCTGTCCCCCCTCGGCGTGTAGGTAGGAGAGGATGTTGTCGTCCGGCGAGAAGGCTAACTGGATCGGCGACGCCGTCCCGGGCAGGGGAAACCTCGCCACATCCTCGGGATTCATCGGCGGCGGCGGCACCCCCTGAGCACCAAGACGGCCAAAGAGACGCACCGACCACGCGCAAACACATCGAGGCGGTAATTGGATTGATTGATCTGATTCTACGTCATGTGCCTGTTCGCGCATTTTTCTTGGCTGGTGTAGGCCAATACGGCCGTCTCTCTTCAGCTTCGCGTCTCTGCTTTGGACAACCGCCTGCCTGGCTAAAAACGTCCCTGATGTGTTCCTATCCAGTCCGCCCACCACAAAAGCGCCAAAGTATACAAACAACAACAATGGAGGATTCACAACCGCTGAGGGCTAGAGGTCCGATCGCTTACTGTAGTTAGGTCAAGACGACAACAACAATACATGCCCTCAGACTTGGTTCAGTGCCAGCCCCTGTTCTTGCGGAAATAACCCCGGTACTAAATGCTGCCGTCTGCCAAGAGTACCTAGTCGAGCATGTTCGAACGATATGCACATCCAAGGGCCACCGACACCAAGATGCCCAAATAATTTTCGCGTTCGCATGAATAGGCTGCTCGTTTTAACCTATTATGGTCGGATGCATGTGCCATTTCTTTTGGTATTTTTCCAACACCATTTTGAGATTTGAGAGGTGCACATGTGTGCGCACGTAAAAGCTAGCAATAGAGCCGCATGTTGCAGCACGTTGACACAGCCTACCATGGGTCACGGCACCCGGGCTGAGAGTCGGACATAACAACGCTCTTCGGTGCGCTCTCACCATTAGACAATTGGCATATGTTTCCCTTTCGAGTCACGAGAATACGTCGAGGAATCACAACATCACAACCCGACAGGTTCCGCGAGCGATATTGTTTCTTGCTACCCCTCTCGTAGTGATTTTTCTTTTCTTTCTCCCATCATTGGACTCTGTCACCTGCCACTCTGGCCCCTATCCTCCACTTCTACCAGCTAGACGACCCAACCCGGGGTCACATTGGAGGGGGGGTTGGACCCTGCCGCGGTTCCTGCCTGAGATATTTTTATCGCGAGAAGTGTACAGCAATCCCTTCCCTCGCGACTTATGAAGTCGATCAAGTTTACTAACAACGAGCTTTGCAGCGCGTCGCTTCCAACGGAGACCAGGATTTGATTAGCGAGAAAAAACTCACTGTCTGTAATGTACATTAGTGGTGATCCAACCTGTGCATATCGTCGGTAAGCTCTACATCGCACACACGAAAAAAATATGATCATACCCCGACTCCTGTTGTGGATGGTTCACCCTACAGAACTACTCCTGTCCCGCAAGTCTGTACATTCGCGGCCCCACCAACGTCGCTCCGGAAGGATCCTCTGGTCTCACAGTCGAGAGGAGGTTCAACCCCTTCCGTCGGTCTGAGATAGGTACCCCTTATCTGGCGTCAGCGGCAGGAATAGGCATGGTGAATCTTGTCCGACGGTTCATCAAAGAACACGCCCATGTCAATGCTCCGCTGGTCGAACTCACTCGAAAAGATTATGTCAGACGTGCTTGTTTTAAAAAAGCATGGGGGCCGGCCCAAGATGCCGCCTTCGAAAACGTTGAGAGAGTTTTATTGTCTACCCCTGTCCTCCACTTTCCCCATTTCTCTCGTCGTTCACACGGACGCCTCTGAACAAGGCGAAGGTGCATTCCTCGCTCAACCATCCCGCGATAGTGCCGACGGTAAAGAACGACCGCATCACCGCGTTTTTCGAGTTCGGTGACAGAGATGTTGGTAGGGTAAGCGCCTTTCACCTTAAAGCCAGCAATCAAGCCGTACTGGGACAGGACGGATTTGACATCAACCTCGCTCTTGCCGGGTGAGGCGGGGAAGTCGTTTGACGTCAGTGGGAGACAACACGACATGCTTTTGGCGAGACAACGCATCGGCAAATGACCGAGTCAAATCCGGGACAGACGGGGTGTGCGACGAAGCACCGACAGACAAGACAGACTGGGACACACGCTTAGCAGCCCTGTTGGCCTCCTGTAGGCTTACCAGACGATCCATGAGGGTGATGATGTGAGGATGAAGCTCGCTGATGCGTCCCTCGCCTAGGAGATCCAGGTGCATGTCGACCACCCTCTGATCTTTTAGGCGAGGGACGCATCAGCGAGCTTCATCCTCACATCATCACCCTCATGGATCGTCTGGTAAGCCTGCAGGAGGTCAACAGGGCTGCTGAGCGTGTGTCCCAGCCTGTCTTCTGTCTCCCGTCATTGTTGACGCGACGCCTTGCTTGATAACCCGCATCACGTTATGCGCAAGAGCTCTGACCACCCTGTAAGATGGTTGATAGCTAGCGCACTTTAGACTTTACGTGGGTCGATTTTCGTCCACTTCCTGTGGCAGACCGATCGGACAACAGCAGCAGGATAATGTATGCAGACAGCAGCAGTGGTGGCGATCGAAAACTGTGCGTACCATGTATTCATTCTGCATCGCATGTGTGTGTTTTTTTTGTCTCTCTTTGCTGTAGACATCACCCCGCCCATGGCGGCGCATTGGCCGAACCGGGAGACCCTGTTGTCCACGTCCGCCCTATTTTGGTGCCTCCCAAGAGAGAAAGCTCAAGATAAGTCGCTCGCGTGGACGGGCAGGAAAAACAGATTCATGCTCATTCGTCCATGGCACTGCATTATGTCGAGTTCAAAGCAACGTCAAAAGGGCAACTTGAGACGGAGGGTCATACAAGTATGACTTGCTCGAGGGCGCCAGTGTATCTGCTGTACATTGATGACAAACCATGGTCCGCGTCAGGAGCACGAGGTGGCGAAACAACTCCCAGCCTGTTGGGCAACCAAGGCCCAAATCGGGGAGGGGATGACCTCAAAATATTAACTCACCAAACACCCGGGGCGTCAATTTCTTATCTTTGTTCTATCTCTCACAGGGAGCACACACACGCGTGCAAGATCAGTTGCCCTGTGGGCGGGGGTTACATCTCTTCACGCGTCTAAGCGGTGCCGCCGATTCCACCGCTGCTGTACGATACATGTAGACGGAAGTACACAAATGCGTAGAGCCTGGTCCGGTGAGAACCCGGCGTGCTCCGTCCCGGCTTTGTAGGGATGCGAGGTCAATGGTCTAACGACTACGGCATGCACGACTATGAGTACACC